CTTAAATTTAAAATTAGCACTTCTTCTCTGGCCCCCTTCAGTTCGCTCCACCAGTCATATGGTTATCAATAATCAGTTGTATTACACGCAGACAATCACGTTGCCTTGCCGCCGTATTATCCACTAACTGTTCAATAAATAGGCTAGACTCCATAGTGGTGCTGGGCGGAATGTCCTGCGTGCAAGATATGTATTTGTTGAATATATCCGAATTAATGGAACTCGCCGGATTGCTTTGATCACGTTGCACAAGTTTACTCAACGCTTGCGCTGAGCTTAATAATTTATCTTTGTTCTTTTGATAAGCATTGATTTCTTTAAGCTTTGCATAGTCATCACTGGAAATGTCTATAGTGTGTGGCGGTCCAGCTCCTTTGCCACCTGCTTTATTCAGTCGCATTTGATATTTGCGCTCCGAGACGAAATTCCCCAGCAGATAGCCTGCGAAAGAGCGCAAAATTAAATATAATTTCATTTACTTAATAGTGCAGAAAGTGGATTTTAATAAATGCTGTTATACTCGTACATATGTACATACACATTGTACATTAGGGTGGTCAAGAACAGGGGTGGTTTCGATTCAGGCCACGGGTTAGCTGGGTGTATATGGCGTTAAATGCTGTTGTTCAAGTGTCTTCGCTACCGGGTAAGGAGGGTTATCGCACGATAAGACTCTTCCTTGTTGGTCGGTTTCGTTGTTAGAACTAGAATTGTATACCAAATATCAAATCAATAGGTCAACAGCAAGGAGGAAATTTCATTTACTACTAGATTTCATACAAAAAGGAGTCAAAGCGAACCATACGCGTGGTTGTAGTAGCTAAGGAAATTACACCAAAATATGCATCATTAAATTTTACTACAGACCCTACAAATTAAGACTAATGGGAAATGTAGTTTTATACCAGATTTCTGAAATAATTTTGATCAACACAAGGCCGAATTAGGAAAACTTCAAGCCAACGTAAAAAAAAATGTGACGTGTACGTACAAAACGGCAGGTGATCAAATTTCTAGAGCTCTTTCTCTCTCCTAATTGCTACAACGCCTTCGGGTATTTTTTTGACTTTCGCACAGTGTAATTATCCAACCTTTAATAAATGAATCATGCTGTATACTGTACTTTTGCAATGTCACCTCCCATCTGTGGAAGTTAAGCAATAAAAATCATTTTCCACTTATGACTCGACTTATTTTTTCACATCTATATTTCATATTTTATTCATTTTACAGCCTTAAAGCATTCTTTTTTCTTTTTGGTTCAAATTATGTTAAGTACATCGACGTGTTGTTGTTGTTTTTTGTATTTATATTGCACATGTATAAAATTCAGTACATCTTAAATAAATAACAATTTTATTCAGTGTCAGCGCCAAGGGGATTTTAGGATGTTGTTAACTAAAATAAAAAATTCTTTTACATGTATTTTGTGTGCACATGAATTTAAGTACGCACACAGTTATGTACATATAAGCTTTTAAATTTTCATTCCCTGTTAAATCCACATTCCTTTTTAAATATTAATTCTATTTTATGTATGTGTTTAAGTTCGAGCAACAGCGTGCTTTAGGCTGCGTATATTTATGTATGTATGAATGTATTTTTTCTGTTGTCATTACAAGAATATACACAAAAAATAGTATGTTCGTGTATTTATTCTTTTGAGTAAACATTGAGCACATTCAAGAATGATATAAAAAAAAATTTACATACATTTGCATTGTTCGAGTTTGTATTTACTTGCGGTTTCCTTTGCTAAATGTTTCTACTTCTTTTTTTGTTAGATCTCGATGATAATAATAAATGATTTTCTGTATAATTATGTAATTTATATTGAGTGTGTGTATACATACCTACATACGAGTATGTATATGCTTGTGTGAGTTGAAATTCTTCAAGTTAATTTATACATATTATGTATTTAGAACCACATTTTACTGCCATAAAAAGCCTCTTTTATTTTCCTACTGGTACTGCATTCATATGCTCTAGCACTCCTTGGGGAGCACTGCCAACTATCTACATACATAAATATACAATAAGAATTATTCGGCTTGCCAATATGACTGGACTGTTTATCTCGTATGTAATCTTCTAAAACATAAGTATATGCAAGTGTATCTACGTATGTATGTACGCCTAGTATATGCTTAGAAAAAATCTTTACAAAAATAATATAGTACATAGACAATATAAAAAAGTATTTGGCCCACTATGACAAATATTACTATATGTACTTATATGTTTATACTTATGAATGTCTATAAAATCTTAATCAGCCACTTTCTTTCCATAGTCCGCACCAATATTACCTCATTTCATCAACGTTTTAACACACATTCACATGTATTTACATACGCTCAGTTTTGCTTGGTCGTTAACTCTTTTCCCTTAAATTTAAAATTAGCACTTCTTCTCTGGCCCCCTTCAGTTCGCTCCACCAGTCATATGGTTATCAATAATCAGTTGTATTACACGCAGACAATCACGTTGCCTTGCCGCCGTATTATCCACTAACTGTTCAATAAATAGGCTAGACTCCATAGTGGTGCTGGGCGGAATGTCCTGCGTGCAAGATATGTATTTGTTGAATATATCCGAATTAATGGAACTCGCCGGATTGCTTTGATCACGTTGCACAAGTTTACTCAACGCTTGCGCTGAGCTTAATAATTTATCTTTGTTCTTTTGATAAGCATTGATTTCTTTAAGCTTTGCATAGTCATCACTGGAAATGTCTATAGTGTGTGGCGGTCCAGCTCCTTTGCCACCTGCTTTATTCAGTCGCATTTGATATTTGCGCTCCGAGACGAAATTCCCCAGCAGATAGCCTGCGAAAGAGCGCAAAATTAAATATAATTTCATTTACTTAATAGTGCAGAAAGTGGATTTTAATAAATGCTGTTATACTCGTACATATGTACATACACATTGTACATTAGGGTGGTCAAGAACAGGGGTGGTTTCGATTCAGGCCACGGGTTAGCTGGGTGTATATGGCGTTAAATGCTGTTGTTCAAGTGTCTTCGCTACCGGGTAAGGAGGGTTATCGCACGATAAGACTCTTCCTTGTTGGTCGGTTTCGTTGTTAGAACTAGAATTGTATACCAAATATCAAATCAATAGGTCAACAGCAAGGAGGAAATTTCATTTACTACTAGATTTCATACAAAAAGGAGTCAAAGCGAACCATACGCGTGGTTGTAGTAGCTAAGGAAATTACACCAAAATATGCATCATTAAATTTTACTACAGACCCTACAAATTAAGACTAATGGGAAATGTAGTTTTATACCAGATTTCTGAAATAATTTTGATCAACACAAGGCCGAATTAGGAAAACTTCAAGCCAACGTAAAAAAAAATGTGACGTGTACGTACAAAACGGCAGGT